GAGAGAGAGAGAGAGAGAGAGAGAGAGAGAGAGAGAGAGAGATAGAGAGAGAGAGAGAGAGAAAGGGAGGACGGAGAAAGAGGGGGAGAGGAGGGAGTTTATTTTCTTATGTGTACCAAATCCTTATGAATAATCACGTTAACATATGACGAAAACACTCACGCACATAAGTCTACATGCGTAGCTAGTCAAAACATACCAGTTGCACCAAACAGAGATCTTGGAACTTTGTTGGAACAGCAGCGTGAGCAGAAATGATTTCCACAATGCCGGCAGTAATACTAAAGGATAAAAATAAAATGTAAAACATCATACTCATATTCCCTAGCATGATTAATAATGTACAATATTTTTGTGCTCAGTACAGTATTTATGTATTGAGAATGAATGTTTAGAGCCAGAAATTGCCATCGTACTTGTTTAAAAGCATCGCATGCATCCGCTATATAGGTATGTTAAACAACCGGATGCAGACCAATTGATTAAAAATCAATTGCACATAAACGTTTTGAAGGTTTCAGTGAGAATGTGGTCAAATGTTAATATTTGTCAATAGTTCGATTCAAAAGAACTACATTATAGAATAAACATATACATTCCCCACCCTTACCTGAAGCAGCTAACTACAGATAAAAACTTTGAAGTGTCCAAGAACTCATGAAATCTCTCACGTCACATACTTACTCGGCGTTTGATAATGGAGAAGGGAGTGCTGCAGCTAGTGCAGCTGCCAAGGTTGGCTGCATGATGGCGGTGCCGCTGTCTCAGCTCAACTAGTCTGCGTACAAGTGTCTGCTTGCCACTTGCCTCAACACTCGGCTCTTCTGGCTCTAGACGACACCAAACAGCTATAGTTACGAGCAGACGAATACCGTCAAACATGAATCTAAATGCGACTTATTAAGGGAAATAGCAAAGGTGTGCTTTGTAGACAGGTGTCCATTCTATTGATGTGTCCTGTTAACGTGGGTTTGCATGTAGATTGTAGCTGGATAGATTATTCGTCTGTGTGCGTGGTAAACCTTGCACACAACTTTATCGCTATAACTGTACTATACACATAAACGTAGGTTAGAAGCAGTTTTAATGCATGGGTTTAGCACATACGTTCTACATCTGCTGGCTGGACGAGGTCAGCAGAAGTATCTAGTGTCGTGTCACCACTATCTGTCGCCACCGCCTCCATGAGTTTCTCCGCTTCCTCTTCCATGTCTTCATTCAACTGTGAGAACCGAGAACAGTAGATCTCACTTTAAGACCCTTCTGTCCCGGGTTAGATTAATAAAGAAAAGTTTCCAACGTGATACCTAATAGATAAACAGCACATGAATTACATATTAAATGTGATTGCTCATTCTCTTGTATACGCACATATATGCATACTTGTGACTCATGCCATCATGTTAACATTGGAACAAAAGTAAGATAGTATAGGATTCTGAAACAATCATATTGTCCCGACAAGATGCTTTGTCCTACAAACTCACCTCTTCGATGAGTTTCTCGGTGTCTGTGAGCTGTGCATCGCTTGAATTCTCCGCATCGACGTCCTGCTTGCCCGCTTCCTCCTTATCAAGATTCTCATCATTGCACTTCCCAGTATTCTTGTCACACATAATGTCTACTTTGGGACAGCTGGGTCTCAAGTGCATCTCTACGCCTATATTTAGGTGACGAAATAGAGAGAAAACTTTCAAACGGGAGGAACCATTTTAGATTAATTCACATGATCAATCAATCATTAATTACTGCAAATACAAATTATGAATATGGCAACAATCAGTGTCGTGAATTTGGTTGCATGGTCAGTTGTTAAACTGTTCAGGCAGCCAATTAGTTTAGCAACCACATATATTTTACATATTAAAAAAAATTTACACTGAGAAAGTTGAGTATGCTACACCCTTGTATGATAGAATAACAAGCATACAGATTTCAGAAAAAGATAATATTATTATCATCGGCAATGATGTCAGACTAAAAATAATGTAATTAGAAGTTACCCAATCCAGTAAACATAACAATGTTGATGACAAGCATGCCAACAACACAGTCAGGGAGCCAGATGGTAGCTGATAGGAACAACACTGCTGACCCATAGTACGCCAGTGATAGTTTAGGCTTCGTCCAATCCAACACTTGGAATATAAACTCCATCCAAGCGTTGGTTTCAATTATGACGTCGTCGAGCTTTTTCAGACTGGAAAATGATGACAGAAACCATGTAAATGGCTTCGTGAAGTAGATATCACAACTGAAACACGCAGTATAGCACAGCACATGTATATGAAATTAACACCAAAACTCGGATGATGAACAAATTAATAGAAGTATTAGACATCCGTAGAAATGCCATGATTTCCGATCGATAATTTTCCACTGGTTGAGATCAGTTAGTAAACAACTTTGAACTTAACTTATTCAAGTCCACATCATCTACCTGGATTGCATATCAATGATTTTGCGAAAGTTTTCTTAGGCCGACTCTTTATTGGTTCATTACTCATATAAAAGTGATTTACAACTAAACCTAGATAGCATATTTAAATTATCATCATTTATTTATGACCATTCAGAGATTCCATCCAGTTCGTGAAATATTTTAGCTGTGCTTACACGGAGCAAAACTCCACCAGTATTGGGTCGCGAATCCCTTCCCCGTCTTTCTCTTCATCAACCACCTGTATGTGACTTGTATCGGGAAGGTACTTCTTAAAGATTCCAGTCTTGAAGTTGATGAAACCTAGGAGTGCCAGTGCAGACATACCCAGAAACAACAGGAAGAATATATCGCCTGCAACAAAGAAAACACCAAGTGATGTATAGACACGTGTTAGTGTATTAGCATAGCTGGTAAAAATGTTCCAATGAGGGTGGCAAAAATACTGACAAAATTTACTTTCTAATTAGCATGCTCATATATGAATATGGGGCTTCTTCATGAACATATACCTATACCAATATACATCGTATGCATACGTTCAAGAAAGTAGTGTGTAGACTCTGGGTTTATGAGATTGAGAGCAATAGGGGGCACATAGCTTAGTGTGTTAGTTAGCGTTGTATATCTCTCACATAAAAATAAATAGCACGGAAACGTACTTTACATAGAGGACCGGACACGTGTTTAATCTCAAACATCTATTTCACACATTCATAGAAAATAATAATTTGTGAGGACCTCTAGCAGATGTGAAGAGTATAACACTGACATTACCTCTTGTTGCTAGCAATGCAGTCATATTGGCTACCAGTAGAACACTGCTGGAGACAACCCAAGACTTCCACCTAAAATAATATTGCAACAACAACGACCTTTGTGAATTACATTAAGAACTTTAGATAATTGCCATAATAAATCTATTACAATTATAAATATCATACCATCATCTATTCCCATTACAAAATGGCAATGATTCACTGACTACAAAAGTCCCCTGCACCACCCTTTGCTTGCTACCACAGCTGCCACCTATAGTAACAATCCAACGCAACTTGGTTGTATAGTATACATAATAATTACTGTGATGTAAATTTCATACTGAATAGAATATTATGAGGCGATAAGATAAACTTTGATAATAAACTAACCTTACGATGTCAAAGATGTTGGTCATCATGCTCTCCATAGGTTTAATCATGACAAGGAAAAACTTGACATGCCACAAGAAATCATGAACACTCAATATCCTATTATTATTTTTATTATTATTAATATTATTAGATTGTGCCATATTGCTGGAAGACGCTGTTGATGATGTGCAGGACATTCCAGTAACAGCAGTTTCTGAACTACACATCCTTCGTTACACAGTCAAGTCCATCCAATTGCCAGCACCTGGAATAAATGAACGCATTACCTCATTATTATACTGCACAATTTTTGTGAAATTAATATTCGGTAAGATACTGCCCCCAAAACACAAAGTCCAAGGGCCTATCAGTATCATGAAGAAGAGGAGAGTGATGTTGATGAAATCGGTAGATCAACACCGCGGATTGCGCAGTAGAGGTTTCCCTTTGAGAAAATGTCAATATCACATGCCATAAGGGGATATGGCATATGGCCATGGGCCGTCTTGCGAGCAATGCTCCGACTGCACCATTGGAACGTTTCAATAGTAAAATGATGGTAAATAAACACAAAATATATTTACGAAGTCTATGCAACACACAAGGGCGCAAATACACTTTCCTACCGGCTATAGCCGTGCGTATATTAGCCTGTGCGTGATATATTTGCATATATATAGCCCGCGTGCATATATTTGCTAATTAATTAGACTAATCGTGCGTCAATAAACTCAAAATATTGACAGAGATTACAGATAAGACATGTGTCTATATGTATGTAGAATTCTAGAATTATAACCCAACTCGTTCGCGAGATATGAGAGTTAATACACTTTCCTGCCGCCCATAGCGTATGCGCGCGGGGAGGGGGGTTATAGCTGTATACACCAGTTGACAGTTTAACACTGCGCATGCGCTAAGCCTAAGGTCAAAGGTCGGGAGGAATTTTCCGTCCCAGAATTGCGAGTAAAATGCGCGAACAATGGCGTTAACGTGTAGTGTGAAGGGCTGCTCAAACGGATCGTATTGGCTTAAGAAAGACTTTTAGAGCATGCATTGACCATAATTTAAATGTATCAAGTGTCATGTCACTCAGGTCATCCATTATCGGTGCTCTATTCCCTGGTACGTGCACTGTTCTTCGACACAAAGGTGAGCGACCTGCGTATGCAAGGCAGATAACGCATCGAGATAAACAACATGGCAGAGTTTACTCGCACATCCAGACACTCGCGGAGATGCGAAACTACTGGCACAGAACACAGGCGCGGAACTGTCAATCGGTGTATCGTATACAATACGCCAGTACACACGGTACTGACGGGCGCGGTAAGGAGTTCGGAGTCGGGTGGCGCCATATTGACCAGTAGGAAAGTGTATTTGCGCTAAAAAAAATTATTGAGACGTTCCAAGTGGCAAGTGCCTGGGCTGTAGGCTGTAGGCTGTGGCTGTGCCTATGCAGTAGCCCGGGGAGAGAGGGGAATATAGTCACAGCCACAGGCTAATATAGCAATTTTCTGCTCTTATATATGAGAGCAAATGTGCTATATTGCAGAAAATTGCTATATTAGCCTGTGAATAAATACCCGGGAGGGAGACCAACGGTGAAAGAGAGAGGGGAGGAAAACAGAGAGAGAAATAATCAAATATAGAATAGCTAGGAAGGAAGACAGAGAAAGAGAGAGCGTGAGAGAAATAAGGAAAGAAAAAAGAATTGATAATTTGAAATTGAAATTGATAATTTGAAACCTGTGATAGCATATTTCCTTAATATTGACAAAATGTTAGTATAAATAACAGAATGAAGTTGTTGTTGAGGCTGCCATATTGGATCCAAATTTATAGACGAACTATCAATGCTGTGACTTTGTTTTCTTGCAATTAACAAAGAGAAAGGGTACCCATCTAGTCGTCGCTACCACGTGACATTAAACCGATAGTCACGACCCGTTACCTATTGTATTACTATTAATATTATCATGTCCGGTTGTTTTTCAAATTTAAATCCAAATTCAAATAAATTTTATTGCACAAATATTACTTACTAGTCACTACTCTGTACTCAGATACATTGGCAAAAATAATTAATTAAGACCAGTCGCTTACAACCAGTCAACCATGGATACAGTGCTAAGTTGAAACAACCCGTCAGGAGTTTCGCCCGGTTATGTATATTCATAATGGAGTACTACAGGTAACCGATCGTGACGGAATACTATTTGTAACCTGGCGAATAAACAACTGAATATCGGTAATTTGTTAGAACAAAACTTCACTAACTAAACTTGATTGCGTAAGGAATCAAGTTACAAATAACCTGTGAGCGAGAAATCGACCAAACAGAAGAAATGACAATAATAACCAGGAATCAATAAAGTAGTCGATGCTCGAGCAGTCACTAAGTAAGATTATATTAAAACTTAAAATTGTTGTTGTTTCAAATGTTTGTCACTGCACAGCGGCGTAGGTGCGGTACACAGGCACTTGGAGCCTACGCTAGCTCAGTAGCTGCTGCACACTGACACATAAATATATAGTTAGTAAATAGATTTCGTATTTATTTAGCATTATATTTTATTGACACACTCCAACTTCCAAGTGCCTCTGGGGCAGTATACTTGACTTGTGTGTTGCAGAGGAGCAGGAATTTGGTAGTAAATACATTTCGTGTTTATTTACCGTCATTTTACGTCAGTGCTTGTGCCACAGTGCTGTGGCATGACAGGGCAGCATTGAGGCACTGCCTACCTCCAACATAACAGTTAGCACCCAACAGATTGAGCAGTCGACCAGCACATTGTCATTGCCATCAAGTGAGCAGTCACTGATTGACTGAATCAGAGACGCTTACCAGTGTGGCTCGAAATTCCTGACTTGCGAAATAAATGATATAAGATGCGTATGCGAGAGTTTGATTGTTTAATTCACATTGTTCGCTTGATTGTTCGCTTGGACGCATTGTATTTTTTTCTGAGCTCGTAGCTCGCATAGCATAGAGGCATGTCCAAGAACGCTCTCTTCAACGACGTTCCGTGTCGTTTTTGATCAATAAGAATATCAACTACAATCTCTACCTATCAACTCTAAACTCTCTAGCTAATATAAACATTACAAATTCTTTTACAGCTTCTCCCCTCCTCCTTCTCCACCACCTTCTCCCCTTCCTCCTTCTTCATCAGCTTCTCCCCCACCAGCTTCTCCAAATTTTACACAAACCTTCAAGTGTATTAGTGTACACAACCTATCGTAACACAAAGACGAGCTGTGATTGGTCGGGTCGGCACGCATGCGCATACGCATCCTATATCATGTATTTCGCACACGTCAGGAATTTCGCTCGACGCCGCTGAGTGTTTTGTGGGTGCATGTGCACTTCCAGTCTGCCATTGGAACGCTAGAAATACTACAGACGGTAACAAATGCAGTCCCTATAATCGCAGATCCGGTGAATGTTTAGCTCTAGAACTATAGCCCTTCGCTCTCAGTCTGCCACAGGGCTATAGCCTATATAGCACAAACTAGGTTGAACAGGGGCAACAAAACTATTTCCTCTACTCCCACGAGGAACGGATCACAGAAAAAAACGAGAGCAGCCAATTACTCACGGGGTGTGGGTATATAGCACTGGCGTTGATAAAAGGTTGCCCGGCAACATGTTTATCATGTGCTTTGTGCCAGTTCACCCCCGTGAGTAATGGGCTGCCCCCGTGTTTTGCCTACATTTCAGATGACGTTACCTACGCACACGAGCACTTGAAGGGAATTTGCAAATAGTGCTAAGACTTTGAGGAATAAGTGAATATATGCATGGTGTAAACTTGTGAAAAGTGTTCAAAAAGATAGGTAAGAGGTCCATGTAGATAAATAAGTGTTAAAAAGCCCGATCATTTTGCGTTCTGTGAGCCGTTCCTTGTGGGAGCAGTGTCGTTGCCTATTTTCAACATATAGTTTGTGCTATAGCCCTGTGGCAGAGCAAAGGGCTATATAGTTCTAGAGCTACTGATTGTTTTGCGTGCATTTCTGTGCACATGCCTACTGTTGTGCATAAATTTGTTCAGATTTGGATGGAGATTGATAAGCTTGAAGCGGAGGCGAAAGCCACAGCAGCAAAACATGTCGCCAACATGCTGCAACGACCCGATCAGCTGGAGAAGGTTGACCAGTACAAGCGTCGCGTCGCACGGAAGAAGGTACGTATGCATGACACACAGACGCACGTACGCGCGCACGCGAGTGCACGCCACAAGTATGGTACATAATGCCGGAAACCATCACGTAAACCAGTACAAGCGTCGCGTCGCACGGAAGAAGGTACGTATGCATGACACGCAGACGCACGCACGCGCGCACGCGAGTGCACGCCACAAGTATGGTACATAATGCCGGAAACCATGACGTAAACCAGTACAAGTGTCGTGTTGCTCAAAAGAAGGTGAGTTTAACAAAACTGCCATGTAGCCCTGTGAGGCACAGATAGCTATATTTATGGAAATTGAATTTGGCAAATTGATGGTTTTGGCTAAATATCTGACGTTTCAATGCTTTCTCCGAGCCATACATAAATTACCACACTGGCTGGGACATGCAAAGATGGGTTGCTTGCTCTATGTGCCCCATGTCAGTTCACTTGAACTGACATCGTTCGTACACAAAACACATGGACGCAATCTTTGGCATTGCAGTAGTGATGAATTGATTAATTGATTGCTCTACTGGTCCCTATCTCTGAGCACAACGTTATTCGCATCTGTGTACGGGTTTTGAGTAATATCGGTGTAAATCATTTGCAGGTGCTTTCTTCAGCTAGAGCTATTCAGATTGCATAGCGACTGCATATATACTTCTCATCATGACATACAGGATATATGCAGTCAGCATGCTATCTTAACTATTCTTAAATATCTTGACTATCTGTCTTTTTTTCCCCATCAGGGATCGGTGGAAGCCATGTTGAAGACTGCCATGCAGTCACAGCTTGATGGTGTCAGGACAGGACTCAGTCAGCTGCAGACTTCATTGCATGACATGAAAGACATCAGGAATGGTATAGATACTGGAGCCACACTAAAATACTCTATATAGGCTGTGTTACGCATTAATAAATAAAATGAAAAAATAAATAAACAATATATAATATAAAATATATAAAAATAAATAATAATAATATAATAATATATAATAATAATATATATATATATATATATATAATTTTATATAATTATATTTAATATTATATGTAATGTACAGTTCGTGTCTGTGCCGGTACAGATGTATTACGTGACACAATATCCAGGCAAAGTATTTTAGTTGTCGTGTTAGTGCACATGTCAGCATGTGGAAGTCATCACAAATTCACATATTATTGTATTTCGCCTTTCAAAAGCAAAATTATTGCTGTATAGAACTAAACCAGTGGTAGCGACGTAGCGTACATACGTGGTTACCTATCGCTACAATATTAAATTTAAAACTAGAGTTATAGTAAATATATAATAATAGACATGTAGAAATCTCGGCAGCCATGTAAACATTACAAGCTTACTCGCCCGATGAGCTCCTGCTTTAAAAACACATTAACTATAATACAACTGGCCATTAACCTAAGGTTTTTAATTTAAAATCACCAAATAATTTGTTAACACCAGAAATGAACGGCATCTAGAAGTTGTCTGGTGTGCACTTCTTTACTCGATATTCTAAAAATATTCCTGCAAAATATATGGGCAACTAGCATATATGTTATTCGGGCATGTATATTTTACTTGCCCGAATACTTGCCGAAGGGCAAATTGCTCAAAATGTTTGTCGTGAAGACTGCATGTGTCACATGATGACACACATTAGGGTGACCTGTAATGTGTAAATGTAAAACGAGTTTGTTGCTAGTTAATAAAATCGGCTTATTGAGTAGACTTACATTTAAAAAACCTGGAGTCCGTGGGAAAACAAGTTTGTTGTTAGTTAATAAAATTGGCTTGTTGAGTAGATAGACCTTTACAAAAACCATGGGAAAATTAATTTAAAAAATAGAGGTCATTAGAGGTGGAAAGATTGGGAACCACTGCGAGTAGGGTGACCTCTTGTTTTTTTCTCAGCGTTGGAGCAGGTTGAGGACGCGTACACGTCCGTCGCACACCTCTCGCGGGAGCTGGAGGAACTGCGCACGGAGAGCGTCAAGCACACGCAGTACGCAGCAGCCGTCGACAATGTGAAGCACATCGTCAACGTTCCGGAGAACGTGGAGCGCGCACGCGCCGCCATCGACGACGGAAACCTGCTCCTCGCTCACAAGGTCAGCGCCAGCAGGGGGCAGCACGCGCGGAACGCCGTTTCTGTATTTAAATTACTTTTAGTGAAAATATTGGAATTTTGATAATAAAAAACCGCTCTAAAATAAAATTTTGTGAGAACTGGATTGATGATGGCAAGACAGCTCAGAGTCTTGAGTCCAGACCAGTTGCTTTGTAAATTGTGTGTTATTGTTCGAGTACTAGTGACTAATTGTATATATATATATTATATATATATGCATATATGTATGTATATGTATATATAGTATATACCATTTATAACAATGTATTTCCTCACCCTGTTATGTATCATAAATTATTTGTTCAATTTTATCTAATAGTACAATTTGATTTTTTCACCCCTACAACACTAGGTGATCGGAGACCTGGAGTTCTCGCGTAACGGTCTTCTCTACGAGCTTCACAAGCAGCAGGTTGACAGCCCGACCGACCGCAACTTCATCAAGCAATACTTCGCCGACGTGGACACGCTCAGCGATGAACTTGGCAAGCAGCTGTGGATGGTGGTCGCGCGCACGCTTGCGTACGTGCGTAAGGAGCCGACGACTCTTGTCACCGCGCTGCGCATCGTTGAACGCGAGGAGATGAAAGACGAGTTCTACCTGCAGCGCGAGCACCAGAGCGCGTTCGCCGCGCCGGGCCGCCCGAAGCGGTGGCGCCACCGCTGCTTTGCGGTGCTCGAGGAAGTCATCGCGACGAAGCTGGAGGCGAATCAGATGGATAATCGCGGCGATCATAAGATGTGGCTGGTACGCCATCTGGAGGTGACGCGACAACTGCTGCTGGAGGACCTGCAGGTATGCATGTTGTTTTGCGAGTCAACGTGATTATCCTTAAATATGTATATATATATATATATATATTTATTTATATAAATATATATTAGTAATATACATTTATTACATGTACGTGTGTATAATTATGTATAAATAATATATATCCATGGTTTAGTTCATATCAAGTGTGAATCATTCAGGAGCCAAATTGCAAATTTTTAGAGCAAAGTAAATGTCTCTTGACATGTTAGGTCACCGTTGCTAGTTAGTGGGACAGGAAGGCAAACATTTTCGTCAGAGGAAAAGCACCAAGCACTCAACTTAGTTTTTTAGCAGCACTTTATTTGGGGCAAAGAAGCGTACATGGGATTTACGAGAAGAGCAGCATTTTTGCAAATAGTAACGTAAATTCTTCCTAATAACGATCGCGAAATCCCTGACAAGTCTTCTAACACAGTGCTTCTTAAACTATTTGAGTGTCATTCACCCTCGGGTATTTATCACCAAATTTCATTTACCTGCGACTAAATTTCCTTGTTTTTGGTAAGTTTTATTCACCCAAAATAATTTCATTCACTCTTGGGTGAACCACTTACCAGTCTAAGATGCACTCTCTTAACGGAAGCTTTCTCACGCCGGCTAGGTCGATATAATAGTAATTGATACAATAATAATGATAATCGATACTATGATAACGTAAGTACTTCCTAACAACGATCGTGAAATCCCCGACAAGTCCGCTAACGGATGCTCTCTCCCTAGTCGCGGGTGAGTGAAATTTTGTGATAAAGACTCGAGAGTGAAATAATTTGAGAAGCCTAAACTATAGACTATAGACCAACTATAACTATACATACTGCCCTAACGGATGCTTTCTCCCCGCCGGAGCATGCGCTAGGTCGTGAAGATGCGTTCACCTGTTTAAGACGCTCTCCTCTAACGGATGCTTTGCTCTTTTTATTTCTTCTGTTTGTTAACATCTATATATATTTGGGACCTGTATATGTTTATTTGTATTGCTGACATCAGGTTCATGTAGACTCAGGTTTATTTGCATGTAGTTTATTTATAGTTTATTTATTTTTATACATCGCTCACATATAATTTTGTAATTATCAATCGTTATTCATGGATTAATTTTCTTTAATTAACTTTATATTGCGGAGTGGCTGACTTGAAGATTGTACAGTCAATTCGCCCTCCCTCGCTGCATTTATTTAAAATTTCGTGACATCTATGTAACCATGTAAATTTTTGAAAGCGTAAATAAATTTAAAAATCTAAATCTAAAGTCTAAAATCTAAATCTCAGGTGGTGAAGACGCTGTG